TTGGAGGAATCTTGGATTTCAGACCATCCTAGAATCCCACAGCTTAGGTTCAACATGGGCGGCAGGTCTGAAGTGCATTGGGCTGTACATTGGGCTGGAAAAAGCACAGTCAAGGAGCTGAGTTTTGGTCTCTGCTTCTTACAATGCTTAAAAACATCCAGAAACCATAGAGACAACCTAGGAGCAGCCTAGGAATGTGCATGGCCAGACCTCAGAGGAGCATCAAACAGTCCACTCACCCTGCAAAGGGCCAGGAGTGGAAGAACAGCCACCTTCCTGCCCTGCTCCCTTCTCAGGGCTCCATGCAAGGCTCCGGATGCAGTTTGACACACCACATATCAAAGACCATCAGCATCAACAGTCACGAACTATGACTAGTGCAAGTCATCAGTGTTCTTGCAACCCTCTGAAAGGAAGACAGAATGTTTCAGCAAGAAGGAACAAGAGTAGGAGGTGCTTGGGTGCCCCAGAGAGTACCTGTAATTAATTAGTAAGAGGTGGACATCATACCGTGTCTGGAAGGCTTGATTTCATCCTGCTTAACTGTGAAAATACACATGTTGTGAGGCACGCAGTGCTGAAATACTGCACATGCAGGTTGGAGGCAGCCACCCACTCCAGGCTGCCAGCTGCTAGGATGCATCTTGGCCATTTATGCGGAGGGAAGGAGGGAACTGAGCATATTTCAGGTTTGCACTCCTTTAACTCTGAGCAGACCTTGCAAAATCTTTTTTCTGTTTTGTAGTTACATATTTTCCCCTCTATCTCAGTGAAATAAATTGGTCCTGGTTTTTCTCTTGTCTGGCAGTGAAGGTGGCCTTCTGAGACCTGCCTGGGACACTTCCTTCCTTTGGTCTGGCAGCATTAGGAAAGGGGGAAAAAAAAAACAAAAATCACTGGCAGAGCCCTTTTGTGGCCAGGCATGGTGCATTTGACTAAGGCAGGGCAATAGGAACAAGACAACACATGGTAAACAGGGTATTGAAGCATTCCCAGGTGAGCAAGCAGGCTGAGCATGGGGGGAATTAGCTCCTTGGGTGACCCTGAGCATGAGGACACTTTGATGGGAGCAGCATCCAGCTCAGCAGGGAGGTTTGCAGGGGGATTATGATATGGCAGGTCCTCTGTGGAGAAGTGCTTAGGCATGGCAGCCTGCTCCATCCCACTCCAGATGGGAGAGCCTTCAAAGATGACCTCGCTCTCACTGACAGTCATTTAAAAACGGATCTGAACAACTTGGATGGATCTGAACAACTTGGGCTTGGGAGACCTCAGCCATGATACTCCCAGCAGTGTGTACCAAGAGAAGCTTCATCCTCAGCCAGCAGATGAATCAGACTCCAGACACTAACAAAACCTTTTTATTTCTCTACTTCTTTTATTTTCAATGTGGAAAACTGAAATTATGCCAATCTAAACATCTCCCTTTCCCAAGCACGTTCCTCCTTGCAGCCCAGCTTGGGGGCAGGGGAGAGGGCAGCTTTGGTGCCTGCTAAATGGCACGGTGGCCACATGCCCCAGGGTGCCAAGTGCCTCCAGGCATGGGGACCATGACCCTCATCAAGCCCCAGTCTGCTCTCTCAGACACTAACAGTGCTTCCTCCGCTTACTGGCACGGGCGCCCTGGTTAGATGCCAGATTCTCTCCAGAAGACATGTCCGATCTGGGCAGTGTGGGGCCAGAAGCAGCCTGGGCTGAGAGCCAGGGCTTTATTGGCTATTATTTTATGTCTTGTTGTCCAAAACAGTTCAGTCCAGCCAGGAAACTGAGCTGGGAATCTGTGATGGATGGAGGAGGTAGGTCCTACAGCAGCACTGCCTAAGGTCCAGATAACCACAACTGTTATAGTGCGTGTTAATAAGCTGCTATAATAACACACAATGAGGTAAAATAATCACCCCTGAGCAAAAAAGAAAGTTGCTCAACTATGTATCCCCCAGGGAAAGTCTCTGGCCCACCAAGCCCCTGTCTCTGCAGCCCCAAACTGCCTGCACAGCAGTTCCCATAAGCACTGTAGGACAAATGGTGGCAGCTGGAGGGGTGCTGAGCTCCTTGGAAAGGCTGCCAAACCTTGCCCCCCCCAGTGCTGGGGGAAAAGTTGGCAGGTAGCCACCATCACTTGCCAGCTTTCCTATCCACCTCAGTGGCCTTCCCTAGCAGCCGACCCCAAGCAGAGACCTGGGGAGATAGGCACGCTCCTGCCAGGTCATGGATAGCAGACTCTGATCTCCCCACACACCTGTGAAGCAAACTGAGCAGGTTCCTAGCCTCATGGCTTTGATGTTCGCTGCTGGAGATGGGGTGTTGGGCCCTTCTTAGCAGTCGCCCCCTTCTTCATTGCCAGTGCTTCCCCCACTGTCAGGCTGAGAAAGAAACGTCCACATGCAATGGGCCTCGTGAAAGTACATCCCTCAGCACACGTGGCCACCTTCAAAATGGGTCCTTGAGATGTCTTGGGGTGGTGGCGCTGGATAGTACGGAAGGAGCACAAGTGGCAGGATGGGGAAAGTCTTGGCCTGGAAAAGGAGGTGGCACTGCTCTAGTTAGCACCTCAGCTGGCTGAGCTCTCCCAGAGCAGCTGGAGGCCTCCCACTGCTGCGCTTCAGTTAATTTTTCAGTGCTCTCCCAGGGGAACGAATAAAAATACACAGAGGGATGTGGGCATGTCCCAAATCATACACTCCGAGATGAGCTTGAGGGTGTGGAGAAGGTTAAGCATAGGCGTTGCTGGGAAATGAGGTTGAACAACTGCCATGGTGAAGCTGGGAACCCAGTGCCAAGATCCTGAGAGCGCTGCAGGAGCTGGCAACGCAGCCCAGCCTCTCAGAAACATGCTGTGGCTGCCTGCCCAACCCAGGAGCAAGCCTACAGTGGGGCAGACAGAAACGCACCAGCCAGCAAGGGTGTTAAGATGCTCCAGGTGGCAAGGGAAGAAGTCCTCTGCCCAGATATGCTGTAAATTTCCTCTCTGGGGGCCACTCCCCATAATGTTTCTGCACCCAGGACAGCCAGCCCCCATTATTCTGACCTCGCTGGGCTGTCACTGAAAAAATACATATCTCCATGAGAGATACAATGTGTGAAAGGATCTCTGCATTCCCCCACGGTGTCCTTGCAGCTGTTCACCTGGCCCCATGCATGTCCAGCTGCAGAAACCCCTTCATGTGTTTGTTGGCAAACCAGCCAGGCACGCAGAGAGCTGGCCCTGGTAATAGTGACTCAGTGCTTTAGATCAATCCAATTTTATGTATTTTTTTTGTTTATTTGGATTCATGCCTCTGTATGTCAGGTGTAACAGGCCAAAGCTTTTCTTCCGCTAAGGATGCTATCAGTTCCTGGGGGGGGAAATCATTCCTAATAGCAAGAGATGAGGCTGGAGAGGACTAGAGTGCCAGATGTGGAGGCAGAAAGAATAGGAAATACCCCAGCTTCCTATAATTTCAGGGCATAGGATCTGTCCAATACAAGTTCTAACAGCCTGTATTTGTTGTAGCACCTTCCAGCAAGGCCTCCAGGCCTGACCTGTGATGGCTCAGGGAAGGATCTTCCCTTTCCCAAGGGAGACAACCCACTGCAAGGTCTCTTACTTTAACCTTACAGCTTTTGTCCTGCTCCTTGGACAAGTTTAAGTGCACTTTTGGCACTTCTTTTTTCAGGATCTTCCACATTACTGTGGTGTGCTGCTTCCAATGGCAAAGATCGTTCAAGGGCCTATCTTGATAAATGCCGATAAATCTAGTCCCTTCGTGGGGGCATCTCTGTCAGGGCAGCATCACCCAAGAGAAAGATGCTCCTGCTCAGAGCTCACAAGTGGCAGAAAAGCCTCTAGACCTCCATTTGAGGAACTATTCCAGACAAAACTCAAAGTATTTCAGAGATGTGGTTTCGAAAAAATTTATTAAAAATAATTATTCTTGATTATAACAAATCAAACTAATGCAATATAAATATAATGTGAAAGAAATAAGTAGTTCAATTTAACCGCAAGAGTTTTTTCTCAGAAAGAAAATAAAAAATACTGAAATTATGTCCCTGACAATTAATTGGACTAAAGCAGCCCAGGTATCAAACATTCAGCTATGACAACCTCCTTGTACCTGCTGGAGACATCATAGTGTCAGTAAGTCTGGTCCCAGAGCCCATCTTTTATTTGTAATAAAGTGTCTTGATGCACTTCATTTCTTACCTTGGCTGGATCTAACTTTTGGCCTCAGGCTTGCACTTTGTGGTAAGCCCAGCGAGCACAGTTTATTTCAGCTGTGAGGTGTAAGCTCATTCTTCCTTTTTCTACCTTTCCCATGGCATCTTTTTGGCCTATGGTAGGCTACTATTATGCAATAAAGCCTAACTTTGGAAAGCATTTTATGAAAGTCATCGCATCACTGAGGTCCCCTTGGCAACCTTCATCATACATTTACTCAGTCCTTATTTTTGGAGTTTTTTTACTCTACGTAGAGCACACAGTTTAACAGAGTTTGGGTCTGTGAGCCAAACATGTTTGGCTTTCCTAGGTACACCTAAAGATTTACACTAAACATCACTGCTTGAGAAAGAAAGCTTGGGCAGGTTTAATCACTAGCTTTTGGAGTCTCCTGCATGCTCCCCAGGAGAAGTCTCACCAGTGAGCTCGATTTCTAGTATGGGAACCAGCCCCGGGAGACTCCTGCGGCTGCACCAAGTTGTGGCATGGTGAGGAGCAGGAACAGACGTTTATTCTGGGGACAGAGATCCCCAGGCTCAGCTCAAAAGGCTGCAGAGCCATGAGCTGCTCCATCTACAGACTGCTGGCTCTCTACAAAGGCTGCCCTTTCCCAGACAGCATGAACAGGAAGATGCAGCTTTCAGAGATATTTCTCAGCAAGTCCCCATCCCAACAGAATATATGGGCACATTTTGGTGGCAGCTGGATGGGGAGATAGGTCTCTGTGGGGACACAAAGAAGGGTTCATGCTCTGCTCTCCTGGGCCCACTCTCAGGGAAGAAGTGGGAAAAACCTTCTTCTAGATACTCTTAGGGCTGAGTTCGGAGGGCTGAGGAGGAGACAGCGCATTATTCATGAACTGAGGGTTGACGTACACTTCAGCCATCTCTTGGCACTCCTCCACTTCATCCACATGGAGATCAAAGACAGTTTTCAGCAGGTCCAAGTTGAAGAAGTGCAGTGCAACAACAGTGACCCCAACCACAAAACAGAGCAAGCCTGGAAAACAGCGTGCTCTCAGAGAGCATGCCTGTGAACACCAGCACGTTCCCCATCCCATATCCCTCCTCTGATGGGCCCCCCACCAAGGTACAGTACCTTCCCTTATAGAAGATGGCCTTCCACCATATGAGGTGGTTTCAACTGCTGCACTGAGCATCTTAAAACCCACAGGCATGTGTTCCCCACTTGCTTGCATCGTTACACCTTAGGAATACAGGGACTAAAAATCCCTCCACCACCCCTGAGATGTGAAGGTGTTCCACATTCTGGTAGCCCTCTCCACATCTCCACCAGGATCTGCTTTGCCAAGGCACTGGCTGGGGCTCTGATTCCTGCAGAGCACAGAGGGCTGCACTCTCTGAGCTATCTCACCTTCATTTCTGGGAGAGAAAGTGCTGGGACTCTTACACACCCAGAGGGGCACGGTGGCATGCCCTGATGTAGCTTGCTGTGCTTACCAACCGCCAGTGTGAGCCAGAAAGATCCCCCATAGCCTGTGTGAAGGGATGCAGGCCCAAATTGGATCTCACACATCGGGGAGTTCTTCACAGTGGAAAAGGAGAGCAATGAAAAGATCATGAAAGCCCCTGTGACCAGGAGCATGTAGCCTCCATAGACTAGGGCAGGCATGGAGAAGAGCATGTTGGAGATGAGCCAAGTGCAAAAGGCCACCCTGGGGACAAGAGAAGACCAAGGGATGAAGTGCACAAGGGCCATAGACTAGGTTGCTCTAGGTAAGGATTTCCCTGTGGAAGGAGGAATCTGGGGTCCTGGTTGCACTATGTGATGCCTCTACAGGCCTCCAAGGACAGCAACTCCAACTCCCTTCCACGGGCATGGATCCCTGCCACCATCACTACATCATGGCAGGGCTCCGTACCATGTTCCAGTCTCTCCTGTGTCCTACCCAACCCCAGTGGGGTTCACCTGCAGAGAGGACCAAGACCATCCCTCCCATCTGCTCACCCCAAGGAGGTTTGACAGCAAACCTCACAGACGCTCCTCCACTCCTATGGTTTTCCTCCTAGCAGTGTGCAACTACCACCCATCGCTCACTAATTCTGGAGTCTTAGGGACAAGGTAGCAGGGCCCTTCCCACATCCTTGCATCTCCCCTGCCCGCACCAGAAGAGCGAGGCTCACCAGAGAGCGGCTGATGCATAGTGGCCAGAGATGCGATACTGGTTGTGCACACCACAGGGACTTTGCGTGGTGAACTTCTCTGCCACGTAGAGGATGGGGCTGGGCAGCCCCTTCTCCAGGCCTTCACTGTAGCTGTGGTCATAGTCTGCATCGAAGCTCCAGGCAAAGTGCTCATTGTAGTTGATGGTCTCATTGACCTGATTCACTGGGTTTCCTGACGGAGGAGGAAAATTAAGGTCCTGCTGTGTCCCTGTAGTCTGAGTGTTGCCACTGGGGAGCACGGGCACTCAAATGGCAACAGGGAGCCAGGAGCAAGGCCAGTAAGACAAAGGCAGTCCACAAAGTGCATGGAGACCTCCCAAGGCCATGGCCACCCCACAGCCCCAGACAGGGACATCAGACTCACCCACAAGCGTGACATTCACCCCTGCCAGGCCGATGTGCAGCCCGATGTCCGCATTCACCAGGGCATGGCTGAAGGACTTGTAGGAAGTGTTTGCTGTCACCCAGCCGCTCTCCCAGTCCCCTGTGTACTGGACAGCTGCCAGGAAAAGTAAGTTGGGGCTGAAGAGGGGCTGGTCTTAGACCTTGCTCTGCTCTAAGGGCATTTTGGGCAAGTACAGACCGCAGTTTTCCCACTGTGGGACTTCAAGGGAGTGAAAGGAGGGCAGGAGAATTGACTCAGCTGCAAGAACATGTCTCAGCTAGCTCCCCAAGCTCTGGCAGAGCTCATGTCCTCCTCTTGCAGAGCATCTAACCCCTTGTTCCCAGAGAAAGCTCAGATCCCCAGGGATGAGCCCCACAACCAGATTCCTCCTTGGGAATCCTCTTCAGGACTTCCTCGTAGCCTCCACACCACACCTCGCACCATGGGCCCTGGAGGACAGGGCTCAGAAATGAGCCCACTCCTCAGACTTGGAACTAGGGATAAGTTTTGTTGCTGAATATTAAGCTCATTAGTGAGTAATATCTCTGTCAAATGGAGCTTAGTGAGGGGTGGCAAGTGCTATCACAGTTCTGCTGGTTATTCCAGCTAGGCCAAAAAAAAAAAAAAAAGAAGAAACATTTCTCATTTATGTTTTCATAACAAAAGTGCCCTTTTCTGAAACACATTCACTTTGCAGGGGACTTAATTTTCCAGCACTGAAATGAGCTGAAAATGAAGGTGATCTCAGGTTGATCTCAGGTTGAAAGAGACCTTTTAGGCCTGCCTGAAAATGAATTCAGCTGTGGAATCAGTTTCCCCCATGCTTGTGAGAGCACTGATCCAGCAGCAGTTCTGGAGGAATACTTTCTACAGAGTCAAGTGGGCCCTGCTGCTGCCAGACAAAAATCCTGATGTTACCTTTAAAACAATTCCTCCTGTGTACCCAAGCAGCACCTGACTGCATCCTTGTAATGAAGGTGGTGCCGGATGGCTTTCCAGGGCTGAGCAAGGGCTGAAGGGGTTGAGGCTGTGGAGCATAGCTGTGACCTCCACCCTTTCATCAGCCAGACCCTGGCACCATGTTCCCCAGCAGCTCTGGTGGCAACCCCCAGCACCTGGACACCCCCAGATGGAGGGTGACCGCTACATGTCAGACTGGGCCCTGTAACCCACATGTCAGTCAGTAGTATCACACATTTGGTCACAGCCTGGCTTTCTACTGTTATTGTCCTGTCAAATTGGGATTTGAGTCGTTTAAGCTGTGCTTCATCGTTCCTCTCTAAATGGTCTTGTCATCTGCCATATCTTTTCTTCAAAGCTATAGAGTTTTGATGACTTCAGGTTAGGGTTGGTTGTTCTCCTTACCCGCTATCTTCCTTCCCCTTGCTCCATCTTTCACTTAGACTCCCTGCAGCCTTGTGCATCTTTGAAATGCCCAGCCTGGTCCTTGCTGGTTTCCCCATCAGTCCCATTTACTCCAAAACATTTCCTGGTTTCTGGTAAACCAAATCCTCTCCCTCACCATCTCCTCCTGTCTCACTCCCTGGAAAGTCTTTTCCCTCCCTCCAACCTTCCTGTATTTTGCTTAGACCTGCTCTCCTCACATCACTGCAAACTGGCTGCAGTCCGAGCTATTCAGCCGTGCTCCCTCAGCACCAGGCAGCTCAGAAGGAGTTGCACAGCTGAGAGAATACGAGGCTGTGCAGCTTACCTAAGCAGGGGCAGTTTGGCCTCCTTGGAGCAGTTGGTGTGAGCAAAGTGCCCTCTCGAATCAGAGTTGGGCACGGGCACCTCCAAGTGCTCTTAGCTCCGGCTTTGTGTTGCAGGGGTAGGGCAGACTCTGCAACCAGCCTCTGCCAGGTCGTGGCTGTGATCACCAGCTGATATTTCCCAGGCACAAACCCTGCCCAGCATTTAATCCTTCACATGGGCCCACCCTCGGAGAGTTGCGCAACACTTACCAACGATCACCACCCCGACAACAAGGCTGAGGAGAACCCGGACCAGCCAGTACAGCCTCTGCAGGGAGAGAGGTGGGACATCAGGCATGGGGGAATAGCCACAGCTGTCCTCCCACCTTATCCCCAGCCAGTGAAATGCCAGCTGGGAGCACCCTGGTGTGCGGAGGACCTGCAGCTCTTTCTCAACTCTCCAAAACATGAGGACTAGATGCTTTTTCCCCAGGGAGAGGGGTCACGCACCACTCGTCCACGGATGCCTGGGATGATGATGAGGAAGCTACAAGCAAGCGTTAGGAAGACGATGATCACTATGATGGTGCTGACGTCGAACACAAAGCTCTTTCTCTGCTGCGGGTAGAAGACGTAAATGCCATCAAAGAGAGTCATCTTGCACCTCCAAGAGCCTGTGAGAAAGAGGTGGTCGTAGGAGAGGCCCAGCTTGCCTCTTTCGCTACCCTGCCAGGCTGCCTCGAGCCTCGGGGGGGTCTCCAACCCCAGTCACCTCAACCCCATCTCAGCTCTGGAACAACCAGCTGCAGGAAGTTTGTCATGCAGCTTCCCAGAGGGACAAGGAAATATAATACTTCAAGGAAATCAGCATGATGAAATACTGCACAGCAGAGAAACATGCCTCTCAAAGCCCTCAGGAGGGGAGAGGAGATGCCTGGGGCAGGGCTCAGACAGGCTGAAGGGCTTGTGGCAACCGGGGGGAACCGCAAGCTGCTCTTCTGCTGTGGCTTGAGGAGCAGCCCAGGCCCAGAAACCTGTCGAGCAGCTCCTCCCTGGACAGAGCTGGGCCTTTCCCTCCAGCAGATGCAAGCAGGGCTTTCCGTTTTGCAGTGAACCCTTAGAGGAAGCCTCAAGCCAGCAACCACCACTCCTCCAAGCTGGCACATGCAGCCTTTCTCCAGAACAACAATGAGCCACTGAGAACACTGACTTCACGGCAGCAAAATTATGCCAGCCCCAGGCCATTATCATGCAGAACAAAGCCTGCTACCTCCATCCTCTCCCCTTTCTCAAAGGAGGCTTCCCCCCTGGCACTGCAAAGCACGATTTTGGGAGGAGGGAGTGGACTGTTTCTGCGCTTGGTCCAGAGGGGACAGAAGCAACCCACGAGAGCAGGGACATGGGCCCAAGGATGCAAAGCTCCTCGGCAGCATATGAGCATCAGGAGCAAATCCCAAAGCCATCGGAGACTGAGTTACATAAGATCACATGGCAGATTCAAGTGTGTGATTCGCAGATTGCTTCGACCTCCCATCACTTAAGTTGTAGTAATTACAAAACTGCCCCATTTCGGGGTTAGATCTTTTCTGCCAGAACTGATTGCATGTTAAGTCTTTTTGTTTTGCTTATTTAATAGCATCTCTGCATGAGATTACCCTGGGAAGTCTTTAAAAGTCAGAGGATGCCAGAGCTAATATGACTCATGACCAGATATAATTTCATAATTTCCTGACATAAAGGAATTAGTTTTATTCTCATTTTCTGCAAACAATAACAATAGTATTTTAGGTAAGATCCATTCCAAAACAACTCAAGCACAAAAGAGAAAGCCCAAAAGGCTTAGAAGTGGGTGGAGATTATAATAAGTACCATAAAATAATTGGACCTGTACAGCTGAACTCACTCTCCAACTCATAAAGTGACATTTGGTTTCAGAAGAGTTCTGTTGAGAGCTCAATCATTACAGCAAACTGTTTAACAGAAGACTGGACTTTTAGAGGGAAATGGTCTAACTCACTACTGATCTAAATCTAACCTTATCTAGACCCTTTGCTCAAGTAACAGAGCTATTATGTACTTGCAAATCTTGTTTTGTGTTATTCCGCTACAGCTATTCTGGGCTACTTCACTGGATAACCAAGCCCAAAGAATGACAGCCTTCAAGCACCATTTTTACTAGGATTACCTGAAAAGTAGGAGCCGTAATTGAGTCCCAATAAAAAAATATCAGCCCAAAGTCCAGTTCCAGGGTCTCCAGCCCAGCAAACGTGCTTGCAAACAATCAGATCTGGTGAAAGAAAAGGGATAAACAAACATGTTAGCCTGGGACAAGTTTTAATTACTTCAATTCCACTGGCTTCATTATTTCTTTGCCTAAATTTCATGTGAGATGTAATGGAGGGAGGAAGGATTACCAAGTTGGTAGTCCCCCAAATTTAACTCTCTGTAAATGAAAGCAAATAAGAGTACATAGGAACTGGAAAATCTGAACATGGCATAGAAAATTTTCTTCTTTTTCTTCCAAGTTGAATTTTTCAAACAATATTAAGGAACATCTGCATTTCTTCCACTTTGTGCAACTTCTGGGAACCACTGCTCAGGGTACTCCCAGGGAAACAGTTCAGCCCCAAACTTTGTCACTGCCCACCCACCAGCTGCCCCCTGAAGCTCATGGCAGGAGAAACTGGAGTTGGTGCACCTTGGAAAGCATCCTCCAGGCAGAGCTACAGCTCTAGCCCTACAGCCCCCATCACAGTCTATGGAGAGGGAACACCTAGAGATACCTCCAAGGAAGGGATCAGTGGCTTAGTAGAGTGGGGCAATACCTTCTGCTTGAAATATTCCAGACTGAGGGAAAAGGAGGCAGAAGGTCTGCCAAAACGCCGGGAGTTTCTGCTCACACAAACCCTGTGTCCCCACCACAGCAGGCAGCCAGTGACCAGCGCGGCAGCCCCGGGGCAGGGGCTCCCGATGCCCCTGGAAGAATCTCAGCTCGAGGCAGGGAGAAGCGCCGGCTCCGGGTTCGCTCGTGCCCCCATCCCTCTCCGCCGCGGAGCCGGGGCCCG